GAATAATACAGATGGAAGGGATATAAAACAAATATAAAATGACTCATTCTCGGAACAAGCTAAAACTATTCGCACTCAGGAACATCATTAGTACTTTTCTCCCTCGGGTCGATGGCCCTCGGGAGAATAGTACTAGTTGATGTTCCTTCGATGCGAATAGTTTCAGCTAGATCCTCGAGTGTCATTGTATATTTGTATATTATTCATAAATATTATTATTTAAGATCAAGAGGCACGTAAGATGGCACACACGTTTTTTTTTTATTACGATCGTACCATACTAGTTGTGCATTTTGTAGATGAAAAATTGAAGTGTTATCAATCGCATTCCTGTGTAATAATTTTACCCGACTTTAATATCGAAGGTCCAAAATCATGATGGTCAACTTATTTATATCTTTAAATATCTTTTTCAAGATATTGATAAGTTTCATAGAAGTACTCACTAATAAGTTTTAGCACAGGCCCTCATGACTATGATAATCGGGATATAGAATGAAAGGCATATCATTTTTGAAGGTGTTTTTAAGACTACCTACTTTTATGTCATTATTGTGTATCCAATATTTTGACTAACTCGAAGCTGATGGAAAACATTCCAAAATGTCCCAAACGTTTGAAAATACCGTCAATTTCACTTTATTTGACAGTGACTAATATAATTAAGGGATACTTGAGGTCTAAGATGTGTTGTAACCTACATGTAAGTTACTTTGAATTAAGGTCCATGTCATATCAACTTAGTACTCGTACATGTTAGTACTACATGCTTGCATTCTTTTCGATGATAGTAAAGCCTGTCATTCCTTGAAGTATAACTACAAATAATCCGAGTCTGACATGATGTTGTTTAGTGACGTAAGATATAGCGTCGCCGGGAAAGGGGAGGGGTGTCGGGCGCCAAATTATATTAACATTGACAAGACTGTTTTTGTGAACAGTCCGCCTACAACATTCCAACATTCTAAGTTTCAAGTTTATTGATACAAATCAACAAGGTCGGATTATCATCAGAAACGAACGATACTGAGGACAAAATATACATACATTGGTACATGTCAGAATACACCTAAGACATCAGGTACATGCTGGTTGTAAGTAAACTGAAGGTAATTTAAAGTACATTACTCTTATTAAGTATGACAACTAAAAAGAGGAGGGATTTTTTTTCTTTCTTCGATTCAAATCAATTTATTTTGCCAAGAAATAAAAAAACATGCAGGAAATTTTTTTTTTTACAAAGTATACCACAATTACAATATTACTAACAAAGATAATCACAGAAAAACACAGAATCAATTTACAAACATGAAAAAAAAATCGTTAAAAACAAGGGAAATAATTACCTAGGCTGGTAGCAGCCAGAAAGGAATTGGTCCTTATATGCGGCTGACCAAAATAATCAAATATGAAAGCCTTATGATTTAATTTAAGCTATCATTAAAAAAAATAACAGTTACATGTACAATATCATAACAAATCTAACATAATAATAATAATAATAATATTTCATTTTTATATAGCGCTTCATACAAATGTCTCTAAGCGCTTTACAAATATACTATTGAAATCTTTAGAAAGCATCAATATAGGTCCATAAAAAACTTTTTGTATTCACTTTTAAAAGTGTTAACAAAATTCACAAGGTATGGTACTCCTTAAGCAAGGTTTATTATATTGTACGTTTATATGAAGTTGTATGTACATTTAGCAAGTGACAATAATCAGCGTTTCTAGTTATGAAATTTGAAATCTTTAGAAAGCATCAATATAGTTCCATAAAATACTTTTAGTATTTACTGTTAAAAGTGTTAACAAAATTCAATTTACATATTTCACGAGGTATGGTACTCCATAAGCAAGGTTCATTATACTGTACGTTTATATGAAGTTGTATGTACATTAACAATTAAGTGACAGTAATCAGCATTTCTAGTACTTTAACTTCTACTTTCTTTTCCTCCTACTTTATTGGTCGGGGGGGGGGGCGCCAGGTGTTGTCCTAGACTCGCCATTAAATGATGTAGATCCAAAATGTGTACTTAATTTACTAATTCAGGCAAAATAATTGTACATGTATTTCTAGGTCTAAGAATCAACAACGTTCTTCATCACATACTCGAGAGCAAGGTCAGAAGATTCCATTTTTTCAAGCATATTTATTTCAATTATTGTCCTGACAAGATATTTATTTAGTTATTTATTTATTCAGTCTTCTTTAAAATACAGGGTAGTCCTTTCAGAGCCACAAGGCCTGCTTTTCAAAGGAACCCTGTAGGAGGGTGACAAATTACATAGTAAACATTACAACAAATAAAAACATAAATAATACATAATACACAGTTATTTACTACTAGATATAAAACTAACACAGAACACGTTTTAGTTTGAAAAAACTTTGCATAAACATATATATATATATATACATACATAATATAAACAATAGAATCAACAAAAAAATATAACTGATTATACAGGACATGGTGGTACAGAGAAGAAAAAAAAACTTGAAGCAACAAAATGTTTCCACCTATATTATCAAATGATACAATTTTTTTTATTTTTAACATAAATGTATTGTTCAAGAGAACGATAATACACGCTATTTTTGCATTTGTTGGAAAATATATAGTATTTGGCATACTGAAATTAAATTGAAATTAAATTGAAATCCAACGTTTCCATAAAATCCAAATAAGAAATTAATTTTATTCAAAGTAAATTTATCCTCTAAAATGGATTTTGGATTTTACTAAGAAACATTATAAATCATAATTATTTGTCTGCTACACTACACATTTACCCATCATATTGCTAGCTTTTAAATAAATTCAGTGAAAAACGCCAAATCTGTCAATTCACCTGTCCCCATTCAATTTTCCTAGATTTCATTTTCATTTCATTTCATTTTTATTTTTTCATTTCCAACAAAATACAATACATAATAACGAATACAATGTAAAATGTATACAAAACATAGTAACATTTGTAATAAAAAAATCTTAATAGTAATTTATATATTTGAGGAAGACAAAAATTGAATTTTTAAATTTAACTGCAAATTTAAATTTTACACTTTGTAAGACCTTCTATTTTACAGATCTGGCACATTTTTTCTTGCTGCGGCAATAGGTCTAACTAATAGAGCGTTGATGTGATACAATCAACTCGTTAAATATTCTGACAAAGAGCATGTAATTGACATGAAATGGAGAGGAAAATCAAAAAGTTTGTCAAATAAATACCTAACATAATAACTACAATCAACTACCAAACTCCTGACAGTGCAATTCTCCTTAACATCCCGCATGCACATTATCAGTTTCAATATTTCTGATTGTAGTATATAAGCAAACTATTGATACTTGACTGTATATTATGTACATTAAACTACAACCTGATCTATAATATTAAAATGTGACTTAAAATACAACTTTTTTTTAAACGTGAAGCATCTTTCATAGGCCAGCTTTGAACCCTGTCTGAGTGTAATATGATATAATAATAATAATATTACATTTATAAATTCAATTTCATTCAATTTCATTCAATTGCAATTTATTGTCCAATATTGGAAATTTGTTTTGCTCACATGTTACAAGCGTACAAAGAATCAAAATAAGTTTACATACACAATATATCATATACCTTGACATAGAATTCTTCAGAATATTGCCATACAGAAATGTTCTTATGTTATTATAAAACAAAATAAGTGAAATATTTTAAACTGTTCGAGTGAACGGGATTGCCCCCAAAGGTTACAAAAATGAAATCACAGAAATAAAAAAGAACTTAAAATTCAGGTAGCATTTTGATTGTATTTGCGGATTGAGAAAGGAACGAAAGAATTTAGAAAACGTTGAGTGCGACAGTTCATTGAACGAAATCGTTTACCAGAACGCATAAAAACATAGTATGGAAAGAGTGGATGATTTTCGTTTTTTATAATTTGTTGTACCTCTAGAATTATTTTGGATTCGCATGCTTCATTTAGATTTTGAATTGCACTTGTGATCTTCCCTGCTTGTTTGGTGATTCTCTGGAACTTGCTTAAGTCGTTCTTTCTACACCTCCTGTACCAGCCAACACAACTAAATAACACATCACTTTCTACAATGGATTTGTAGAACAAAGTAAAAATGGTCCTATCTACATGAAACGATTTAAGTTTTCTTTAAAAAATACATCCTTTGTTGAGCCTTTGACGGACTTACACTTATCAGCCCATGATAATTTGTTGTCAATTACGGTGCCTAGATACTTGTATGTCTCAACAATTTCTATATTTTCTTCTTTTATCGTGATAGGCAATACAACTGAACAGGTGGAACTTCTGAAATCAAAAATAATTTCTTTTGTTTTGGAAGTATTATTTTGGTTGATACAAAGTGCATAAACACGAAATACAAACAAACAAAAATAGACAGAGAACATTATTTTAAGTTTTCTTAAATGTGACGTAGTATACAATTTTCTTTAAATGAAATAACTTTAATAGGCCAGCTTTAAACCCAGTAGAGTGGGGCATAGTATAATATAATAATATTTCATTTATAAAGCCCCTTTTCATTATATACAAAGTGCATAAACAAGAAATACAAACGAACAAAATTAGACAGAGAACATTATTTTACTATTTAAAGCTGACATTAATTACAAATAGAGAGGAATATTACAACAAATTAGAAAAGATGCGTTTTCAGACACTTCATGAAAACTGTGAGAACTTGGCAATTCTTAAAGACCATATTAGAACTGAAAAATGAAATGGATGTATTATATATCAGCCTTTTTTGTTGCTGCGGCAATAGGTCTAAACTAATAGAGCGTTGATGTGATGCCCTCTAAATTTGAGTGTTTTAATCTTTAAGGTATTAGTACAAAACGGTCATAAAATCAACTCGTTAAAATATTCTTAAAAAGAGCATGTAGTTGACATGAAATGGAAAGGAAAAACAAAAAATTTGTCAAATAAATACCTAACATAATAACTACCATCAACTACCAAACTTCTAACAATGCAATTCTTGTTTACATCCAGCATACACATTATCAGTTTCAATATTTCTGATTGTAGTATATAAGCAAACTATTGATACTCGACCGTATATTATGTAATATTGTGTGTGTGGAAGACAAACTTTGGAACTTTCGTCTCTCATGTTCCTCTCACTCTCATATGACTCTCCTAGTCTATTACCCGATCTATTCAGCCTATGTGGGTTAGAGGATTGTGAAGTCACCTATGAAAGCCTGGGATCTTGACACCCCTTTTGCTTCCATGTCCTGACTAATATCTCCCCAATGGTCTATGTTTCGTGCCTGGATGAGGAGTTTGGAACTTTCATCTTGCTTACACTCGTCCGACCCGTCGGGTGTGTTACCTGCAGAAAAAAGTAAGAATGTGTCACGTCAACACAGCGATTGAAACCCACATGTAGATATTCATTTACACTATCATGTATAATAATGGTGAATCAATAATATATATATAACATATAAATGATAGTATAGCTCCTTACCACCCCTTCCCCCTTTTTTTTCCTTCTCTCTCTCTCTCTCTACAGGAGTGTGCAAGAGTTAATATATTGCAGAACAAGGTCCTGTTTCATAAAACTTATTATACAACAATTTTGCTCTCAGTCAATAAAAGGCCACAATTTCAGTATACAAATAATGCACTGTTGCATGGGAGCTTTTTTGCACGATGGGACAAACTAATACACACCCACGTGATGTCAATTGACCAATCAGATTGCTTAGATTCTAGAACCCATCTTATAATAGCTTATAACAGTAATTGTATCATATGTTAATGATAAAAAGTTTTATGGAACAGGGCCCTGCAGTGCAATATTAGAGCAACAATTTAACAACATAAAATTCATTCACTACATGACGTTCTTCCAAAACATGAACATTCAAATAAAAGTGTATTTGCATGGTTCATAGCTAGATTGCATGAACCTATATACACATGCGGTTAGTACCGGTAGGCCTATATCATAACTAATGATGTATTGGATATATGTCGTAAAGAAAGTTACCTTGCTCCTTAGTGTCAATATTTTCAGTGGTGTTCTCTTTTGATTCTGTAGCTCCATCTCCGCTCTTCTCTTGCATCACTTCTGAAGTTAGATCAAATATAATAATGAAAATAAGAAGGTTAGGACAGAGTTTACAATGCAGAGGCTTTGCTAATAAAAGGAGGAAAGCTGCACCAGCATAACTCCTGTCGATCATATTCTCTTTTATAACATTTATATTATATATCATATATATTTCCTGTAAGAGCCTTTCTGCTAACTTGTCATCAGCAAGTTTAGCCAAACATTCCTGTATCAATAACAATTTTCAATAACTGTCATAACAGTTATTGAAAATTGTTATTGATATCAAATCCTGCCAGTTGATTGAATGAGAGCAAATTTGTCATATCAATTTGCATTACTGGTAACAAGTTTTATGAAACAGGGCCCAGGTCTTATCTCTTTCGGGCAGTCACATCCTTAGAAAAAAAGGCAAAAACGAAATGTATGTTCCTTAATCACAAATTATTTGTGCTATAAAAAATGAAAGGCAAATAAAAAAAAAAACACTTGGCATAATATTTTCTAGTTCTGTTCTTTGGACAAGAACAAGTGATTACAGTCTAAATGTATTACATATGATGAAGGAATGAACAATTGACAAATAATATGGAGGAAAACAATAAATATGAAATCATGAAATATTTTGTGTAGAAAACCAATGAAAGTGTAAAGATGCATTACTTAAAGCAAAGATAAATTGTTAAACGAGGTGTATTATAACACATCAAATATATATTATACCTTCCCCGAAAACGATAAACCAATGTGGGGAAATAGGGGGGATTGTGACTGCATGTGCCATGGACCAATAATGGCCTTAAGCAGCAGATAGGTTCATATCCAGCTAATTCCAAGATTTTTTCTGACTTGTTTCCAATTACAGATCGATCAATCGATCTTATCTACCGGTAATTGTAAGCCACAAATATGTTTAAATTTCTCCCAGGAATACATTCATAAAAATTATTGTCCTATAATGGCAGACTAATGAATATTAAAAAGTCAGAATGAATCAGGCAAGCTTTGGTATTTGTTTTTATACAACTCACTCCTAGAGCCTAATTAAATGATTGGTCATTCGCTGTCACGTGTGATTCATTTATCGAGACTATCCCACATCTTTCATGAAAAAGTGTGCAATAGTTTCCAGTACTATCCAAAAAAAATTTGAGTGCATGTACATGATGTACATGATGTGCAAAAGTGCGCGTAGAGGTTATAGAGCACTTATACTGCGTGTGCATGGGCCTTTTCTTGCACAGCACTATATGCGTAAATGCGTATAGAGGTAAGCTAGTGTACTTATCTCTGTGTGCGTACTAAGCATATTAAACTAGAGATTCATTCGTCAGCCGTACTGTCACAATACAATCTTGAATGAATTCTTTTTACATAAAAATACAAGGATCTAAAGGTTTTGTAGTTTAAAACAAATGATGCATGTTTTCATATGTTCATTATGTGATCTATCCGCCCTCATTGAGACTGTGTGTTTTTATCGCCATAAGCCACAAATATGTTTAAACGAGTGTGTCATCGTTTTTGGCTTTTTTCATACCTTCCTTTCCTCTTTATCCCACCTTTTACCTTTATTACAAACAAATAAAAACAAAAACAACTTAAGAGATGATTAGAACTAAAATTATAAATGGATTAAAATAAAAACATGCTACTAAACTAACTATATTATATGAAGTACTACCACGTGCATGATATATCAATTAACCATGTGGCAAAAGGACAAATTATATCAATATATGTATGGGTGTGGGCGTGTGTGAGTTCCTGTCTGTGTCTTATTACGTTGTCAGCACAAGGAACCCTAAAATGAATTGACTAGGTCAAAATATAAACAGTTAACAAGGGAGTATTACATAATAATTATGTGGCAGTAGTGGCGAAATTTTCAATATCACGCCTTATCAGCCTGATAGGTAATAGAATCATATTGGTCAAGTAACAATTCGTTCTCAAGACACCTGCTGCTCAAGGTTATTTGAACATTTAACCAAGCCCATCTGAGGGTTCACATTAGTTTATCGCCACTTGGTATGTGGTAGTGATGATGACGATGTATGGTGATCGACAATGATAATGATGACTATGATTCACTGCACTTATGATTGTGTTAAAATCATTCAAATGCGCAGATATACATGTACATCTCAGGCATTTCCCTAAATGTGTGGAGTTCTTTACCTGGCTCGTTAATGGCGATGCCTTCTTGACACAGCTCCTCAGATGCCACGTTCCTTGTTTTCGTTTCATGACCGGACACTACCAGATGTTACAGACAAAACCAGAATAAAGAACAAAACACAAATTTAGCAGCGCTAACAACAAAGAGTACTATAACATGTGCAAAACCCTAAAATATAAAGACAAAACATAAAATACATAGAATAAAAATGCATAAATGTGACATTTTATCACTGGGGGAAGAACTTTGTTTCAATTGATCTTTTTAAAAGTGGCTAGACATTAACTTCTCTGATGTCAAGTAGGATGTTTTTTCACGTATTCGAAGCATTTTATTGGCAGATGAGATTCTGGATTTGGTGATAACTAGTTTATATTTGTAGATTATCGGGGTGAAGCTGGTGTATTAATTAATACAACTTAAAGGTACTATGTCCCATTTGCAGGCCAACAAAATGAAAAGGTTAAATTCCAACGGCATTTGAAAGATAATACTAATTTAGAACTTCCCTAAAGAAAGTGGGGCTTGAAAAAGTGTTCAAGTGGGAAAATAACGACTATTAGTAGTCAAATCGTCTTAGGAGCTATAGAGCCAATAAGTAATAGTCTTGATTTTCAGACCATTGTACCGAATGGTCAGACGTTTTATGCTGCGCAAAGATTCAATCAGTTTAATTTTGGCTATCACAAGAAGTGGGTTATTGATGTAGACAAATGCTCATGTACCCTTTACAGCTCATTTTATGTTTGTTATTACCAGAGAAGAAAAAAGCCAGTCAGTCACTCAATAGTGTCTGACAGTGAAGTCTAGCAAGTAACGGGTTTCCTCGCATAATTTGAATATTAGGACACTGCTAACGTTTAAATTTCACAGATAGGACATACATCACATATTCATAATTCCTGCCAAGTTCTACAGAATTTGAGGTTGGCTGCAAAAGGGACATAGTACCTTTAAGCCGATTATGATTCACCTCATATACCTTACACACCAACATGAGAACATAGTGTGAAATAAATATGTATCTGCATTTAAACATTCCATTGATTCAGTACTATTGCAACTACAAAATATAGGCCCCCCCTCCACGATTTTTCTGATTGTTCGAGAATGCATATGGATGGCGCCTCGCCGCTCGCTGACTTTTTTCTTTAGAGTCTTGCACATCTTAAAAAAAAAAAAAAAAAAAAAAAAAATCGGACCTACAGTTACAAGGTCACGTGACCTTTTGTCTTTGCATGTCAGCCCGAAAATCACTCATTTTTGTGATTTGTGTACAAAACAAATGGAAATGTCATTTTTCCTAAAAATAGATCAAACATGGGTTATTGTGTCTTGTTTAAAATTTAGGTGGTTATTTTGAAAGTCAAAATAGTTGAATTGTAGGAAGAAATGAAAAAAAACAATAAAATACATAAGTTAAAAAAACAATGAAATACATAAGAAATTATCAAAACAAGAGATAACATAAGGAATAAGGCTCTTTCCAAAAAATTTGTTGTATTATTGTTCCAATTGGTCTAATGAATATATGTAGTGAAAAAGAATTCTTAAATATGAATAATATATGATTTATGGGTAAAAATGTGATTTTATGAACTTATTTGCATAAATTACCATAAATATGCAAATGAGTGATTTTTTCAAAAAATTGAAATTATCATATTGTTCTATTCGCGGAGATCGGCCGTTTCACGGCCAAGATCTTAAGGGGGGCCATAATGCCCCCCCCCCCCCCCCCCCCCGGCCGTACTAAGACCTTAAATAGCCCGGCCTTATTAGGGTTAACATATCCTTGAATAATTGAATGATTTAGTTTTATGCTTTAATATATAAGAAAGTGGGTGCTGGCAATTTGCATGGTGATAGCATATCAAGAATCACAGAAAATTTGAATTTCCTTCAAATTAACATTGTTTCTCTACATCTCATCAATACTGCCAATAAGAATAAGAGGCCCTAAAAAGATGAAGAAAGCAGGATTTTAGAAGATAGGTAAAATATGATCATGTGACAAATGTACTTCTTTATAATTAACTGATAAACAATCTTTAAATCTTACATTACCTGCCATTAACTCATGCGCATAAGCACAGAATCCAGCATCAAGAAGTTTGTTGCTCATTTCTGTAGGACTCTTCTGTATTAATCCCTTCTCTTCGTTCTCCTTCGTTTGGTCCAGGATTTTAGACAATGTTGGCAACTGTCCCAACCTAATGTTAGCCGCTAGCAGTTGTGTCACTTGCTTGTCTATTTCCCCATTTCTATACACTCCTGACAACAAATGAAAACAAATCAGATACAATTATTTAAACATATTTGTGGCTTACACCCAGTAAATAAGATCGATTGATCGATCTGTATTGAAAAACAAGTCAGAAAAAATGTTGGAACCAGCAGGACTTGAACCTGCATCTACTGCTTGCCAGGCAGCGACTCTACCACCAGGCCATCACTGGTCCATGGCACAGTCACAATCGACCAGTGATGGCCTGGTGGTAGAGTCGCTGCCCGGCAAGCAGTAGATGCAGGTTCAAGTCCCGCTGGTACCAAGATTTTTTCTGACTTGTTTTTCAATACAGATCGATCAATCGATCTTATTTACTGGGTGTAAGCCACAAATATGTTTCAATAATTGAAATTTCTCCCAGGAAGCATTACATTTATTTAAAAAAAAATCAGGTACATTAATGTTTCTATCTTGAGAATACAGGGTGGCTTTGTTTTTCCATAATTAAATGTACCTTCATTAACGTTAATGTTCATATTTCTATCCCACTTAAATTAGTACTTGAACTGATTGTAAAGACTCTTTTGGAAATTCTGATTTATGTCCTGGGAAAAGGGGGTAATAGTGGAGTTTTGCTTTTGCCATCATTTAATTATATTTAAATCTCAAAGAAACATTTTTTGGTGTCTCCACTTTGCCATGTGTCTTCACACTATCAGGGATATTTCTACTGGTCCTCTGGAAAAAATGGAAGAAAAAGAAAATTACTGAAAGAATTAGAATTAAAAAATTGTGAAAGTTCTTCATGAAGGTGTACAGATACCTGAAATGATGTCTAGTGCGAGTTGCTCCTCCCCCATGCTGAACAACGCATCGGCCAATACCAAGCGATGGTTGAATGTTGAAGAACAAACAGTGTCTCTCCATCTACGAAGTACAGACTTCCCTTGGTTGTCTGGATCCGTGGATTGGACGTCATCAGAAACACCCAGTTGTTTCGCCAGCTGTGCCATGTTAACTCGATTCTCAACTTTTATCATGTCTCCAATGCTGATCTCAAATCCTGTAACATATACGAAGAACCGTTTGTCACTTTTTACATGCATGCACATTCTAATCCATCCACATGCAATGATGTTTGCATCCTACCCTGTACCCTTTTACCACCTGGGTGGAGAGGAGCAATGTAGAAAAAAAGCCTTGCTCAAGCTTAGGCAGAAGTGTTGTGACGGGGCACGTACTGTACCCACAAACACAATTTTTTTTAAACCACAAAAGCAAAGCATTTCCTTTGCTTAAAACAATGCTTGCATATGCCCTTTCTATGCCACAATAAGATATTTCCTTTTACTGTGTCTTTGTAAAGATGTAAACATGGTAAACTGAGAAGATTCAGCACTTACCAAAATATAGTGCCCTTGCCTCTTCAGAATACCCTGCCTGTCTCAAGGGCGTAACCATTTTCACTCGGTTATCAGTGTTCACCTGCTTCATGATATAAGCAGTGCCCTGTGTCAGATTGTGGGGTTCAAGGTTGCATCTGTAAGAAGCAAGGACTGTATCGCTTATGTTCAGAGCTTTGGCAAATGGGTACACGTCGGCCATGATGAGACGAAAGGCTAAATCGATCAGCTCTACATCGAAGATATTGAATGGTTTTTTCTTGGCAAGAAGGCAGGCTAGAAAAGATAATATAACACAAGGAAGTTGCATGTTTATTTGTAATCACTTGAATACTTCTCAAATCAATTATCGACCCCTTCCTGCATGTGTACATGCTCTCTGTGAGATTTTCAGATAGATAATTGTGACATCACACGTTCAATCAAAAGTAATGCGCGTTAATTGTGCGCAGGTTAAATTGACAATTTCAATACCCCAAAGTGGGTGACATGAGATTAAATTGTCTTTGGCATTGTCATTGATAGCCAATCATTAAGTCAAACGTTGACCTTACAGTGACCTATAGCTTTAAAGGGATTTTTCAACATTGGTGTCAAATCGGTTCGGATTGTAAAGAAGGCATATAAAACAAATATACCAATTAGCATTTAGTTTGTAAGAATAGTGGAAATTATATGTCTCCGGAGGGACTGGCAATAGTTTTTTTTTTTTTCATCGGGGCTTCGCCCCTCGGAACAAATGGTACTACGCCAGTCCCTCCACAGATACATAATTTCCACTATTCTTTCTCACAGCTTGGTACATTTGTATAATATCTTGTTCTAAAATAGATTTAACACTATTAGAAAAGATTGGCATTATAGCCCTCAAAAAGACCATTTTTGAGGTCTAAAAGACAGGTGCCATCCAGGTGACAGGTGACATAATACGTATAGTGCCTTACCATAGCATGGATGTTCATTCTCCAGAAGCTGTCTTAGAATTTTTCTTGGGGTATTTTGCTTATTTTCTCTCCTAATTCTTTCAAATTCGGAGTCTAAAGTTGGTTTCAGCAAATTGATTATTTCGAAAATGAGTTCTTTTTCTTCTGGAGATTGTTGTCCTGGGGCTGTCACATCGTATTTCTTACAGAACGCAAGTAGAACTGCTGACCCAGCATAGAGACCAATGCGATTGAGTTCATCACGTGATATAGATGAGACTGTAAGGAAAATTATATTTAAATAAAAATATGATAGCAAAAACTTTGCAGAGGCAACTCAAGAGTAATTTCAGTACCATATTATTATATATTGAAATATTCTGATACTGTTCTGTTGGAAATGAAAAATAAAACTGAAACTGATAACATATTTTTTGTCATGATCGCACATTTTCAATACGATGACGCAAAACACTATTGAAACTGCTTTAGGTTGACTTTTTGAAACTCTTTGCGATCGTGTTAAAAATATTATTTGTCATGAAGGGTTGACATGCAACAGAGTAAAAGATGTTTCAACTATTTTTTTTTTCAGAATGGCTTTTCAAGGATTTTCACAGGCAATATTTGAAGCAATAACGTACAAGTAATAATATCAACATTGCTGTTAAACTATTCTTGGCCTGAGGTGTTTTACGTGTAAACAGATAAGCTGTATAACAGGAAAAGTATCAGTAATAGTATCAGTTATAGTATCGGTAATAGTAGAGGAACCATGCAGGGAAAAGTACTAACAGTGTAAGAGAAGGTGTACGCCAAAAGTGCAGCAGAAAAACAAAGAGGATTAAAACAACAGAAAAGTGTGCCATTTTTCACAAGCATTTGCTTTTCTATTGGTCCTTTCCATATTAAATACTATTTTTGGTATTATTGTTTGTATGTGTTTAATATGGTTATGGTTCAATAAAAGTTCTAAATTCAACTTGCCCCCTTTGGAAAGAAAGATATACCATGAATGCCAAGACAAACATATCGAATGTCTATATCCTTTTTCTATTCAATTCAATTCGAAGTAACTTTTATTTTCATTCCATGTTTTTTATTCCATATCAATGAAATATTCAAGTAATAAATTTGTACAAACGTAATGACTTAAATTTAACAACAGAGCGATAGTTTTAACCTATACTGGGAGGGGGGGTTGGGTTTAGGTAAAGTGAACACGAAAATTTATATGTTTGTAGATATTGAATTGACATTTTTAAAACATTTAATCTTACTTGCGGTCAGGTTAGAATTCAAACTTGATCATTTGATTACCAGTATATCATTTTCATGTATTTTTTCAAATGATTTTCTTTTTTCATTTTTGTTATAATTGTTATTGTCTATGTTTACTTAAATGTTCATGTACCATGTGAAAGAAATTTTTTCTTCAAATAAATACGAAAGAAAACTAGATGGAACTTTGACTGTGCGCAGTCGAAATTGATGCCTCCGTCATAGAGCAATTTTACAAACCAAAACAGAAGAAATTCTTCAAATTCAAGTTCGATTGTAATCGATTAACAAGTTCTCAGAATATCGTGATTACAAGCTATTTCTCATATACATGTATGACCCTTTGATCTTTGACCTCATGACCCCAAAATCTACTCAGTTCATTAATTGGCTCTGCAAGATACATACATATGTCTTGAGTTTGATGGTAATAATCCATCCATCGGTTCTAATGATAATGTGATCACAAGCTACTTTTGCATACATAATGAGCCCCATGACCTTTGACGGTTGACCTCATGACACCAAAATCTAATCAGTTCATTGCCTCAGCAAAATATATACATGTCCTGAGTTGAATTGAATTGAATTGAATTTATATTTATTGTCATGCACAAAATAAAATGAAGGCATAAAAATCGTTTTACAGCTCACATTTGTATATACATTTATCATAGACAGTAAGTACAAATAACATAAATAACATAACATAAAGTTTCATGGTATTCCGTCCATATGTTCTAATGATAATGTGATCACAAGCTATTTTTGCAGACATAATGAGCCCTGTGACCTTTGACCTATGACCTTGTGACCTCAAAATCTAATCAATTAATTGGATCTGCAAGATACATACATGACATAAGTTTGGCAGGAATCCATCAATCAGTTCTTGTGATAACATGATCACGAGCTATTTTTGCATACATAATAAGCCCTGTGACCTTTGACCTTTGGCCTCGTAACCCCAAAATCTAATCAATTCATTGGCTCTGCAATTAAGATACATACATGAACTAGGTAGGGCAGGAATCCATAACGCGATCGTAAGCCATTTTTCATACGTAACGAGCCCTGTGACCTTTGACCCTGTGACCCCAACATCTAATCAATTCATTGGATCTGCAGGTTACATACATGACCAAAGTTTGGTAGGAATCCATCAGTCGGTTCTTGAGATAACGCGATCACGAGAACGAGAACGGGACGTACGGACGGGACGAACGGACGGACGAACAACCCGAAAACATAATGACTCCGGCTACTTCGTAACAGAGGCATAAAAAATACAATAACTACAATGACAGATTTAGTAAGTGAAGAATGACTCATCACCATTTTCTGATTTACTGGCTCCAGGATTCTGTTCTATGGGGGATGTCATGACTTCACTCTCTTCGTTGCTGATGAAATCGTCTGAGGAAAAATGTTATACAATTTATAGTAATAATTTTAAGGGAGGCTTCATAATCACCATCATCATCATCGTCGTCAATGCTGTTCTTCCTGGGGTTTACCAAAGCAAACTTTCCCTTAATACGGATAAGACCAACTTCTTACTTGTAAGGACACCCCCAAAACTACGACATATCGAGGCAGTAATCGACATAAAGATAGATGGTCTGCAAATTAGACATGTACAAAATGTGAAATATCTTGGGGTGTGGCTGGACCAGCACCTTAACGGGAATGAACACATCAACATACTTCCAGCAAAATTGCTTCAAGATTGGCACTATTGAGACGTGTATGAAAATTTCTAACGATATCAGTGCCATCAGTGCCAAGTTATTAGCAAATGCACTTGTATTACCATATTGTGACTATTGCCCTCATGGTCAAATTGTAATCAAGGTCTTCAGAATACACTGATTATTAAAGTTGCATAAACAAATGAATGTACGTTCTTACATACCCCAAGTTCAGAAATGTTCTCAAAACTCAAGTGGATAAACATGGAAAAACGTTGGCAATTCCAGAAATGTAAACTTATGTTTGATATTGTAAATGGTAAATCTCCCTCATATCTTCATGATTTACTCTGTCTGCAACAACACATTGCTCATACTCATGAATTATAGTCATCTCAAAAGTTAGAACTGAAAATGGTAGAAGGGCCATAATCCTTTGAAGGTGCAATTATCTGGAACAACCTCCCTAGTAAAGTACGGAATGTCCTAACCAAGCAATCCTTTTGCACAAGGTATTTGAGAAAAATGTAGACAAAACCAAAAACATAGTACACGCCAGTTAAAAATCGCCCCCCCCCCCCGTGGAATTTTAAAATAAAGATTATCTTTTCTGATATAACTTTAACACAATATTGAGTATTAATTTTCAAACTAATCAAATGGAACTTAGATGGCACTATCTCTCCCATCTCTATGAATATTACCGATATATAACGGAAGCTCGCAGCTAGTGCAGCTAATGCGGCCGTCAGCAATGGCTATACTGCGCCAATAGTACCGGTGGGCACACTGACGCCCAATATCTGCTGGAGCTGGAGATGATCGCGCAAGGACTGAAACATGGAGAAGTTTTTCGTTGTGAAAAGTGTGAATCCTCTGAAATCTGGTTATTCTAAAAGATCAGCAAATAATGTAACTCAACCAGTAAATCAATATTGAGAAGAAGATCACCAAAAATGTTGCAGGGGCGGATCTAGGCGGTTTAGGGGGTTTAACCCCCCTCCCCCCCCCCCCCCCCCCCCCCCCCCCCCCCCTTGTCGAAAATCCCAGAGACCAATAGAGACCATTAGAAAAATTCTATTGGTCTCTAATAGTTTCTGTTGGAGTCTATTGGTTTCTGTTGGACCCATAGAATTGACTCCAATAGAGACCATTCAAACCATCAGAAACCAATAGAAACCAATAGCACCCATAGAAACCAATAGAAATAGAAACCAATTT